ATCTTTGTCTTTATATACACAAAGACCTTTGTTGAAGTAGCTACAAAGCTTGCTTTCAAGTTTACCCTTTCTTTCTGTGCTGTTAACACTGGGACAAACTCGTTCTTAGGCAGGCCAGAGCAAACGGGGATGGGGGGGCTTGTCACCCTGTTAAATAGTCCCCTAGGAAAGATGAAATGTTGGAAAAAGGTGGTTGTAACTTGGAGCAAAAATCGTCCCAATTATTTGTGATATGTCACATTATTTTAAGGTGACCTCCTTGAACAAGCTAATTGTATGTTTTTAAATAGAGCAAGTTGTATTGTGCTCGCAATATTTGTCATCTCTTGAGCTGAAGACCAATAGCCATTCTCTCCCTTCTGTTTAAATCGTATTAATTAAAAAAAAATAGTCTGGCCTTTGGTTTGTCCCTCAGTGTTTTTCTTTTTTCTTTTTTATTATGGCTATATTTTTACAAAGTAAAATCTTTAAAAGTTTTTATTTTCCCCCCCTAAGAAAGCTGTCAATACTTTCCATGAAATACAGGAAACATCATAAAGGAATAATACTAAATTTTATTGAATCTACTATGTGCCAGACATTTGACAATGATTAGCTGATTTACTAGTCAAAGATTTAATATTCAAAGAACATTAAGAGATAGGTCTTAATGTACCTGTCTGATTATAGGTGAGGAAATGGAGGCTCTGAGATGTGAAAAACTTTACCGTGGGTCAGAGCAGGAAGTCCACTGGGATTCACCCGAGTGTGTCTGTTTTCCAAGTCAGACAGTAATAGTGCAGTGACTGAGAGCTAGACTCCAGCCAGGCTGCCTGTTTTAATGCGGGTCTGCTGCTTACTATGTTAACTTTGCCAAAAGTACATCATTTCTCCAAGCCACTGTTTTCTTGTTGTAAAGGAGGCATTATTTTAATAATACCCCCTGGGGAGGGTAGGTTCTTAGAAGGGCACTCTCTTAGCCAAGTAGCTTGTTCTCAGTCCTGGGCAACTCAGCCCCTTCCCCCTGGCCTTTGCCCACTCCTCTAGCTTCCTGCCTCCAGTCTGGTTCCTTGTAAGTTCCCTGCCATTGGGTCCCATTTACACAAACTCTCCGTCCTTCCTTCTTTCTCAACTCAGATGTTCTGAGCAGGTATACTAGGAAGAAAGGAGACAGAAAGAGAAAAGAAATATAAACCCACAATTGGTCATAGCAGCTTGTTTTCTAGGGGAGAAACATACTTTTTTAGAATAGTCTTTTATTTAGTAAAACACATGGATGTGACATTGAATCAAGAAAAGTTAGCCCCAGGTCAGACCTAGCTGCTCTGCAGAAGAAAATTAAAAAGTTAGCATTTCCAGGATTAGCATTTCCAAGGGGCATGGGGTCAGTAATCTAGGAAGGAGCTTAGAAAGATAAGGTGATTGGCTTTATGGGGAGGGAAGTGGAGGAGAGGATGCTGCTGTAACTTTTTCAGAATGAGTACGTAATTTCCCACTTTAAGGCATAGTCTGAATGTTAACCCACAAACATCCCCAAACCCTCAAACCTAACTCCAAACATGCCCAAAGGTTTGTCACCTGCAGCCTCATGATGAAGATATAATGGTGCCCAGTGTGAGGTAGGGTGATGTGTATGGAACATGAATGAGATGCATGATCATCCAGAATCCACACTTAATGAGTAGATGCTGGAGCTTTGAGTAAGGGGTGCTGTGGAGAACTGTGAAATCCCTTTAAAAAACAAGCAGAGTAACTAGAAGAGAAAAAGAATATAGTGAGTAGAAAACATTTAAAAAATAGAAAACTATCAAAACAATTCAAGAGAAAGTAATGAATATAGAAGACAGGCAAAGAAGATCCAACATATGCATAATAGAAGGACCACCCCCGCCCCCTGCCACCTCCGCCACCTAAAAGAAAGAAAAGGTAGTACAAAAGAACAAATACAAGCAACTATTAAAGGAAACTTCCCTGAAAACAAACAAAATAACTTGAATCTATATATTTAAAGGAGACGAAATGTGCCTGGGACACACAACCAGAACAGTCAACTCCAAGACAGTGTATTAAAGCTATTAGACTTTATAGAATAAAAATCCTTTCAGTGTAAGATAAAATTACCAAGTAATTTATATGACATTAGACCTTTATAGAATACTTTTAAAACACAATGGAGTAAATGAAGTAATATATCCTGAAGAAAGAAAATGTGAACCAACAATTTTTTATTCAACCAAAGTGACCTTTGTACTGCCTGACCTAATGCGCCACCATGTTACCCTGCTCTATGTTCTTTGTACGATTTTGCACATGTCAAGTTCCCTGTTTATCTTTTTCCAGGATGAACGCTGCATGACAGCAGGACCTGTCTTGTTTGCTGCAGTAACTTCGGCCCCCACAATTCTCCGTGGTCAAAGGTTTCATGAACAAAAGAATTTTGCACAAGGGGTGTCTTTGTCATCTCAGACGGCCATGACAGAACACCGTAGACTGGGTGGCTTAAATAATAGATATTTCTCACAGTTTTGTAGGCTGGGAAGTTTTGAGATCAAGGTGCCGGGAGGTTCGATGTCTGGTGAGGGCCCACCTCCTGGTGTGTAGAGACAGCCGTCTTCTGTGTCCTCACGTGGCCTTTCCTGGGCACATTTGCGTGGAGAGTTCCTCCTCCTCCCCATCTTGTAAGAGCACCCATGCCTTCAGGAGAACCCCACCCTTGTGTCCTCCTCTAACCCTAATCATGCCCCAAATACCCCACCTGCAAATACACACATGGGGAATTGGGGCATCAGTGTGTGGACTTGGGCTGGGACACAGACGCTTCCCTCTTCCCGGACCTAAAATGAGGCAACTGGCTGAGGCCTGATGTTCCTCCTGCTCTGATGTTGTCCCTGAGAGGTATCTGTCTAGTGAGAACTCCCAGGAACCAAACTCTTACCCTGCCAAGCACTATGCAAGGCAGTGGGGTTAAAATGACAGGAGCCACAAACACTGTCATGTGTGGAGACCCATACCTGCCCGGTGCTGGGCAGGAAGGCTGGGACAGAGAACACAAAGCAGGAGAAGTGTTCTTCTTACACAATTCTCTCCCCAGATACTGGACAACCTGCGTGTATCATGACTCTGTGATGAAGCCATGGACTGAAGTCAGACCTAAGTGGGGAGGCTCAGGAGGTAGCCTCCTGCTAGGAGGTAGCCACTGCTCAGGAGGTGGAGGTGGGGAGGCTGATCTTGAGAAGCAGGAGGGACCGAGCGCAGAGCGGGCTGGGCTGGGACTGCAGGTCATGGGAGGTGGGAAAGCGACTCTGGTTGGGGCTTGGGTGACTGGGGACAGTTTCAGGGAGGAGAGACTCCTCCTGGGATTGGAGCTACCTGTGTAAGGGCAGCTTGGCGCGCACCAGAGCAGGGAGGAGACAGCTGCCTGGGGCAGGGGGGCGGGGCCCATAAGGGGGGCCTTGAAGACCAGGAGTTTGTACTTACATATTCCAGTGGTTCTCAAATCTTGTCTCCAAGAACTCTGGGTTTTGAATATTTGAATTATATGGGGGAAAAAAAATTCTAGCCTAATCTCCAAAGTACAAGAAATAGGCTAAATTCATGAGCATTCTTTCCCTTTCAGATTTCTCACTTAGTAACGGCCTGTTCTCGTTTCTCTCCACCAGCATCTAGGTCAAGGATAGAAGCCGATTCAGCACAAAGTTAGATGAATTGTCATACATTTAATTAATATTACAAAGTGTTCATGCTACATACAACCTCATAACAGTCAGGTGTGTGGGCATCAATAAAAGGGGGACCTTCAAACCTCTGTCCTATGCCCGAGGGCCTGTCCGCGGTGCTCGCTTGCCTGGCCTCCTGCTCGGTCAGGGGCTGTGGACCCTTGGCCAGCAGGGCTCTGAGTCCTGAGCACCGAGCAGGGTTCCTCTCAGGCCTTCCTGTGAACTGCACGTGAACCTGTTGGCTGTGGGGCTTTGGCAGACGTGGCTGTATACAGGCATGCGCCACGCGAGAGCTGGACCAGGAGCTCGGGGGCCGGGCCTCCCGGGCTCAGGCGAGCAGGCCCCACAGCCTTGCAGCCGGAGGTACACGGAGCCGAGGGAAGAGAACAAGAGGCAGCCCTGTGTGTATAGCACACGACAGTAGTTGCTGGGAGGACAGAACAGACAGAGAGGCCGAAAACCATCAGGAAGCTGAGAAAACCAGAGACGCGGGTACAGCTTGGGCGCCTGGAGGAAGCTCTACCGCCCCGGGTGCTCTCAAGTGCCAATCTGCCAGGGGAGGCCGAGGGGACTGCAGGCAGGTTCCAGCAGGCCCGGAGCAGGGCTCGTCCCCTGCCTGCCCCTCCCCACGGGCCTGGGCGTGGCAGAGCAGAAACAGAGGCTGGTAAAAAAGGTGAACAGAGGCATGAACATCTCCGCTGCAGGACTGGGGCTCAGGGAGACAGGAGCCGCAGGACCTGGGGACAAGACAAGGACAAAAAGAAGACAGAGTCAAAGAAGAAGGAGCAACCTGGTGGGAGTGAAGGGCAGGGTGGAGGGTAGGTGGAGCGGAGCTGCGGGGCGAGCCTGGCCGGGGGAGTCGGTGGTCAGGGCTGGTCTCCGGAGGGGAGGCCTACGGGCTGAGCCAGGGCGGGTCCTGAACGGGGCAGGCGGCTTGGTGTCAGAAGACCCGGGTTGGAAACCAGCCTCTGGGATCTGGACAAGCCACTGTGCCTCCTCAGAACTCAGCTGTGTCACCTGCCACGTCAAGTACCACCTAGCTCAGCTGTGGGGATCAAGTGACAGTGCCGGGAACCTGCGAGGGGCTCCACAGGTGTGTGGCCCTGTTATTAAGGGGCTCCCTTACTGGATCCCGAGGTAGTAAAGGAGCGCGCTGGGATCCGCAGCTCTGGGAACCTGTGGATGGCAGCAGAGCTGGGATGCAGGGCCGCACAGCCTTCATGGGGAAAAGGCGCCCCTCCTTTGTGACCGGGCCACTCTGGACCCCCAGGGGTCAGGCCCCAAAGCGCTCACCCATCACTTGCGCTACGGGTCCGGCATCTGTTCAAGGAGCAGGTCTTCAGTGCCACCAACCTACAGAGAGAAGCGACTAAGAGATCGGAGCCCCCGGGAGTCTCCCTCCACTGCTGGCTCGCCGGCCTTCCATCAGCTTGGAGCAGCAGGCACACGCCACGGGAGGGGACTCCAGGAGCCCCTCTTCACCCCACGATGCCCACCGCAGAGGCCCTCCTGTGGCCACGGAGGCAGCCTGGCCGTTCAGTTCTAACCTCTCCTTAATCCGGTCTTTAAAAGTCTGCAGTTCTAAACGCACCCCCCTCCCGCCCCCACCTTTTTTTATTAGTTTTTGGTGCAGACATGGAGGGAACCAGTATACTGCAGAGGCCAGACATGGAGGATGGGTCCCCGGGGAAAGCGCAAACTTGCCTCAATGTGGTACACTATGCGCCAGAAACTGGAGTCTGAGGCTCGATACCGCCTGCCAGGGTAGAGCTGCCACATGAGAGGCAGCAGGCTGGGGGGCAGCTGGCTGGGGCGCGTGGCCTCCCCCCGGGGGACGTCTTCCTGGCGCATGAGCACTTTGAGGCTACCTTCCTCCTGGAGAGAAGAGCAGGGCACACCTTCAGGGCTCTTTCGGGCACAAATAACACCCGCCCGGTCAGCTGGCATCTGTGACGCTGGAGCCTCTGTCCTGGAAGCTCCACTCCTTAAGCCGTGCATGGTCCCCTCGGGGACTCCGGCTGGGCCAGGGTGCCCAGTGCTGTCCCACGTGCAGACACTCAGATAGGGTCACAACGGCCTGTATCTCCCTGACAAATTGCTAGTTGCTGGGTATGCCACGGGGCCTTGAGCTGCCTTAACTTTGGGGTTTTTGTGCCTATTTCGGCCAATGTGGGATTTTCTTTGATTTCCCCCCTTTATTTTGTCATACATCTTTTAAACAAGACATCCCCAGGTCTCAGAATCCCGGGCCAGGCCCCTTCTTGCCATCCACACCCCTGCGCCTCCACCGTCATCTCTCACCTGGACCGCTGCGATGACCCCCCCCCCCCCACCGACTTGCCACCTTGCTGGACGTGTGCCCCACAACGTCAGTTCTTGGCACAGCAGCCGGGGGGCCATCCAAAAATCACATCACTTCTGTCCCCGCCCCCTCCGATGCCCTCCCACTGCAGGCTGGATGAACTGAAGCCTTTACTAGGGCACACAGGCCCCCCGCAGCCGGACCCTGCCTCCCTCCTCCCCTACTGTCCCTCTGTTCCTGCCACCCTCTCCCAGCCCCCAGGCCCCCTCTCTGTTTCTGGGACACCCCACACTCCAGTGAGCTCTTACTCCTGGGCTCCTTTGCCTAGAACATTCTCCCCTGATTTGCACAGCGCTTACACCTTTTCTTTTAGGCAGGCATCTGCTTAAATGTATGTCTTCTGTGAAGACAAATTTAGCAAACCCCAACTCCAGGGTGTGCCTAAGAGGTATGCCTACAACAGAACTCCAAAAGGTTTCCAGTACAAGGATGGGCAAAGACACGCCAGGCAACGCCAGGAGAAAGCCAGCTTCGCGAGGAGGGTCAGGCTTGGCCTATCAGCTAGGCACTCCTGCTTGATCAGTGACTATCTTTCCAAGGTGAAAATAGCTTTGTAAACTTTTCGAAGAAATAAAAGACAACCCATTGTTAAAGAGTTCAGGTCATCCTGCGAGGTCTGAGTGTGGAAATCACTGTTCCTGCTGTGTTAGTGTGCAGTCTTTCACATCCTTCAACCATTTTTAGGGTGCTCATTCATCATTTGCTTGTTGATTTAAGGAAAACTTTACATATTAAGAATATGGGTCCTTTCAGTGACACTGGAGCCTGCCCTGCAGTTTGCTAATGGGTTATGTTTTGTGCAGCATTTATCGTGATTATGTGAAAAACTGTGCTTTGTGGTTTGGGAGCCATGGTGAAGATATTCCCCAGCTAGAGGTTAAAAAAAAAAAAATTCACTTAAATTTTCTTCAAATACTTGAAATAAAAAAGTAAATATTTAACTTGCTTTTTAAAAGTATGCTTATAGTCCTGGCTGGTGTGGCACAGTGGATTAAGCATTGGCTTGAGAACCAAAGGGTTGCCCATTCAATTCCCAGTCAGGGCACGTGCCTGGGTTGCAGGCTAGGTCCCCAGTAGGGGGCGCTCAAGAGGCAACCACACATGGAGTTGCCTCCATCTCTCCTTTCCATCTCTCTAAAAATAAGATATTTTTTAAAAAATAAACTTATGTTTTTATACATTTTTTATATTTATATATAAATTTGAAAATGTAAATGCCAGTCAAGCGCAAAATTAGATGGTGGTTAAGAGCTTGGAATGTCAACCCCATTACCTAACTAGCAGTACTTCTTGGGACAAATCTACATTTTTATACCCCAGCTTTCTCATCTGTAAAATGGGGACACAGTCACTATCAATATCTAATTTCTCTTTGCTATTATATTACATAATGCTCCAATATTATATATTTTAATTTTGCTTTTATACATTTCTCCACTTTATACATGAAAAGTGTTTCAGCATTTTTCACCTAAGTTTCTTTGAGGAAACTCACGCTCTGATAGAAAGTACTGCAAGCGAGACATAGTTCTTTAAAAAAAAGTTAACATTAACCGACGTTCCATCTCAAGTCATCACACATAAACAAAGCCAACATTTATGCGATATCGGCTTTTATGCTAGTATATCATTTAAGTTTGTGAGGTTTTTTCCTAAAGTACAGAGGAGAAATGAAATACCCCAAACTCTAGCGCAGTGGTTCCCAAACTTGCTTGGCCATGACCGGCCGAGGGTCCTTTAAAAATATAGATTTCTGCCCTGGCTGGTGTGGCTCAGTGGACTGAGTGCCAGCCTGCGAACCAAAGGGTTGCCAGTTCAATTCCCAGGCAGGGCACCACACATCCATGTTTTTCTCCCTCTCTTTCTCCCTCCTTTCCCCTCTCTAAAAATGAATGAATAAAATAAATAAAAATAAAATACAGATTTCTGGGGCCCACCTAAGGAGACTCTCCCTGACAGTGGGCCATGTGTACGAACCGCTTAACTCTAGAGCAGCGACTTTCAGCCTTTTCCACTTCACGGCACACATTAACTAGTAAAACTCTGCAGCACACCAAATATATATATATAGCCAACCTGACCGGAAAAAAAAAAAAAAAGGTATAATTTTGACTCGTTCCCACCGGACGGCTCTCGTATCGGCCGCTGGCGTTTTTTAACCTGACTGTCCAGGGAAAGGAGGGCAGGGCCCCTGACTCGCCAGGTGCTGCGAGCTGTAGAGACGGTGGGGGCGCAGCAGCGCGCCCGCCGCAGCCCCGGGGGGAAATCACTGCCTTGGAGAGAGAATATTCGTTCCCGTGTTATGGACTAAGAACTCAAAACCCAGAAAATTCCTATTTTACTCAAGATCACATTCACACGCTGCAGAGGCACTGGGGACCCCCTCCCCCCGCCCGCTTGGCCGACGTGCCTGTTCCCCACGCCCAGTCCCTGCCTGGAGAGCCCTCACACGTCCCGGGAGTCCCACTCAGACAGGTTTCACCTGTGAGACCGTGAGGGCGCCCCCATGGGCCGGACCTTCGGAGCCTCCCGCCAGCTCCATCCCGAGGCTGCTCCAGTGTCGTGCACGGCCTGGGGCGTCCCTAGCACCCAGGGCCTAGCCGGGGATGGTGACACTCAGGCTGCCCTGCCCGGGTGGGAGCCCCCAAGCGTCCGTACCTCGACGTTTACGGGCACCCACGTGCGGTCGTTCTCGTCCACATACACACCCTGCCGCCAAATCCACAGGCGGTCCGGGTGCGTGGTTGTGTGCGCGCTGAACGTGAAGTCACCCATGACGCCTGGGGCGGTCTAAGGAGCAAGAGCCGCAGCCTCTCAAAGCCTCTCGCTTGTCGACCGGACTTAGCGCCTGTTGCTTTATAGCAGTTGGGGCTTGGGCGCCCCCATGCGGCGGGGCGGGAGGAGGATGGGGCACACGGCGGTGCGGGCGCAGGGCAGAATAAGGCAGAGCACGGGGCACCTGTGCGGACCAGCTGGACCTGGAGCGTGGGCTCAAGCCTGACTTGTTCCCTAGGACCCTGGCAGCATTAGGAGCACAAAGCATATCCTACAGACCCAGGACTTCCTCGAGGACCCTAGCCAGCCAGCCGCACCCTCTGTCCCACGCTCCCCACTGAGGGTGAGATACCCATGCTGGTGGCCTTGGCCCTTTCTTCTGTCCGGAGGTGATGGCTTCCTCCTCTTGGACCCCACCGTCTCAGCCAGCCACTGTGTGTGGCTGTTCAAGCCACACCCCAGGCTGGGATGCCAAGCCTCTGCTTGGAGTGCACGGTAATGCCAGGCAACCCAGAGTCAGGGCCCCCTCCACAGCCTTTGGGAGCAGAAGAGACCTGTGCGAGCCCGAACCAGACCTGGAGTCCCCCAGGTTGACGACATCATCTTCAGCCTGTAGGTTTGGGTGTCAGAATCAATTTCCTTGGCGAAGTGCAAATCTTGAAGCTCCCTCCCCCACACAAGATACGCATTTCCCGTGGCTTTGGTGCTGCTGTGGTCATTTAGTAACTATTGTGAAACATGGTGGTGAAGAAACATGTATCCCCCCCCCTTTATAGGCTTTGAATTCATTAGTGAAAACATTGTTCAAAACCAATACTTCAGAAGAAACCCTTCCCTCCACCCCAAGACTAGCAGATTTGACAAGTCTCTGGGTTATGTGGCCGAACCGTCCCTCTGTGAATTACAGCATTAAGGAAAACAGTATTACTTCATTTTGCAGTAACATGGGCCCATTAAGGCAATTAAGAAAATTAAGAACAATGAGAAACACGTAAAACGAGCTCCGGCTTCATTGCTCTGGCATCAGCGCTGGTAGCAGTTTGGTGTCTCAGCTTCTAGCTCTTTCCTGTCACCCTGACTGGGCATCAAGAAAATAATGGTGGTCTTTTGAAATGTCATGAAAGTAAGAATGAGCTAAACAGTTGATCCCCGGACAGCAAAGGTATATATCTGCTTCTCTGCCCAGCCAGGCAGCCTAAATCTCAAGAAGGTGCTGCAGCAGCCTACGGTTATAGAGATGTAATTGGGTTGATGAGGAACATAAACTAGGAGACAAAAGCCAAGTAAGGTTTTGGGTGGTGGGAGGAGACACCCGCCCAGCAAAGCTTTTCCCCAGCACAGCCCCTCGCCGTGTTAGTACTTAATAAAATTCAGACTTGTGGCTTTCAGGCTAATTTCCTTGTGGTTCATTCTTAATTCCAGACCCAGGTAGCCCCCGGGGAGCAAGATCCTATGGTGGTGTGCCCCGCGGGGGAAGTCTCAGCCCCGTCCTGAGCGCTGAGGTCAAACATGGTAACAAGGCCAGCTTACACAGTACTGCGGGGGTGGCCTCTTGTGACAAGAGAAGCGGGCACCCAGGAGCCATGCGGCCACTGACCCAGCCCCATCCAAGGCTCCGGGACCCAGAATGCCACCGGGTCTGCCAATTTCATCAGCGCTTGTTCTGCTTGTCTAAAGAGGCCACCAAGGAACAAATAATGGGACAAGAATCAGACCCATTAGGCTGGCTACACTCCTGACTGTTCTGGGAATATGATCCCCGGCTTTTGAAAGAACAAAGAGACTACATCATTATTGTGGAGGATTTAGTAAGTCATCTGGGAAGGGGTTCCAGAAACTGCAAAGTGGAGGACAGCTGGGGAGCCTGGCAGGCAGCTTGTGTGGAGGCGTGGCCCTGCTCCATGGAAATTCACGGGAGGGGGCCCACGGCTGCTGGCTGATCTCGGAGATGGGGAGCCCCTCCAGCACCGTGTCCGCCCCTCCTGGGGCCCCCCAGCTGCTTTTGCCTGGGAATTGAATGTTCCTTCTAACACTTTGCTCATTAGTCTGCCAGCTACCTGAGGATAGTCGGGGGCAGTTTCTTGTAGAAAGTAACACAAGGCAATTATTTTGACTCATTTTAAAAATGGAATCCTTAACTGGGTGCTTTCATGTCCTGACTCGGATCCAGTTTCGACTTTGACCTGTGGCAGTTGCTGTCCTTTGCCATCTCGTTGCCACGCTATTGTAACACATGGCCCGAGCTCAATGCTCTCTAGATCTGTATCTAACTCAACAGTCCCTGACCCCCCAATAAAGTTGCCTAGTGGGAGGAGGGGGCGGGTAACAGAAGAGATGGATTATGGTATCCACCATGTATAATGCACACCCACATTTTATCACTAATTCCCATGTATAATGCGCATCCTTATTTTTCCCTCAAAAATTGGGGCACAAAGTGCACGTTATACACGAGAAAATACGGTAACTCATCCCCTTAGCTCAGGAAAGCCGCTGGTTTGGAGCAGAATGGCTCTGGACATGGAGCTCCCAAGTGGAATTCATTCTTCAGGAGAGGGGAAGCCACCCTCCTCTTTTGGGTTGCAGAGAAGGGGCTTGAGAGTGAGTCCTGGCCATCGGTGGGAGCTAGAGCCTTGCTACCCGGCGTGTGGCCCCTGACCCGGTGACATCTGCATCACCTAGAGTTCCCGAGGACGCAGTCTCCAGACCTCCGCAGACCCCTTGAGTCTGAATATGCAGGGCAGCAGGACCCCCAGGTGACTTGTGGGCCTGGGAACGGCTGGTCGACAGGAGAGCGAGAGAGGCTGGGGATGGGGGTCCTCCCGCTGCCAGGCGCCCCCAGGTGTCTCCAATTATGACACACAGCTGAATACGTGTCTCTGTGTCACTTGGTTCTATGATATTTTCTGTTAAAAATCACTTCTAGTATATGAAGTGTTTTCCTCTTAAAATCCTGGTACCCACTGTCCACTGTGATCCTAAGCGTCATCCAAGATCACAGCGAGCTGCGAAGGGCCCGCAAGGTGCCTCAGCCTCTGGGCTCCGCAATGGCCCCAAACCCCTGAGCTCGTACATCACAACGCTGGCTGCTAATTAGGATCACCTAGGATGCACTAGAAACACCTGGGCCTGGGCTCCAGCCCAGACCAATGAGACTGGAATCTCTGAGATGGAGGCTTGGGTGTAACTTGTATTTAAAAGGAGCCCCTCAGGTGACTGAACATGTGGCCAGGCTTGAGAACTGTTTATCTAGGATTTGAATCACTGTTTTTGAGGTGGGAACAAGATTTAGAAAACTAAATAACTGTTAAACCTATTTTTTCTACCATCCATTCTCCTTGGCAACCTCTCCCCTTCCCCCAAGTCTGCACTTGATTTCTTTCTGCCCAACTTTTAATTCGTTGCTTCCAGTCTTTTGCGTACAAGGAACCATAACACCAAGGTTATGAGGGTTATAGGGTCTGAGATCTCACTGAAGTGTAAAGCCCAGAAACTCTGGTAGGTATCAATAGGTGTTAGGCATCTGTGCTAGTCCCCTAGAGTGGTTTTTTGATTGCTCCTAGGTGTGGGCCATGGTTTAGGTAATTAAGGCTGCTGATCAAGTGAGATCAGACTAGAAGGGATGTTAATAGCCATTCTCCAAGGGGATGATGTTTCCTGTGTTGGTGAGTGGAGAACCCGGGACACACATGTTCTGTGTAAGACCCAGGGACTTTCCCCTGCTCTGTTAGGCTCCTCTCTCCCTCTCTCTTTAAACCTAACAGACTTTCTATTTTCTACCCCAGCCAGAGTCTAGTTGTATCTTCATTTTCCCCCCCAAATATATTGCCAATCTCCCAAACACTACTGAATAATTATCTTTCCACCAAGCTTTCTGACCCCACCACTGTTGAAGACCAGGTTCCCGCGTAGAAATGGATCTGCTTCTGGGCTCTGTTTTGACCCATTTGTTGGCCATTTTGGTAAAATCACTTTAAAAACATTATGAATTTGAATTTGAAATCCATGGTGTGGTAGGTCCTCTCCTTTTGTTCCTTTTCAAAATTGTACTTTTGCATCTCTGTATTTTTTCATAATACTTTTGGGATTTTTATTGGCATTTCATTGAATCTGTATAGTTTAGGAAAACCTCTTTTATTCCTTTATAACATTTTATAAATTTTCCCACAAAAGTTGCATACTTTGTTTAACTTACTTCTAGACATTTTATAGTATTGTTGCTTGTGTGAATGGTATTTTTTTTTTTAAATGCTGCTTTCTGGCATAAAGGAATGCCATTGAGTTTTGGTGTTGACTTTATACCCCGCATCCTTGCTAACTTGTGTTAGTTTTAATGGCTGATTTATCTGCAAATAAGAGAGCCTTTTCCCCTCCTCCTTCCCAGTCCTTACACTTCTCCATGCCTGTCTCTTGGTCTCTCCTTCTCTCAGTCTCTAACTCTGTCTTTCTGTCTCACAGACTTCTGGTGTTCGTCAAGTGCCTTGAATAGCAGGACTGAGCCATGGCGGGCATTCCTGTCTGGTTCCTTTCTTTAATGAGAATGCCGCTGAAGTTTCACCAGCAAACGTGAAGATGTTAGCTGAAAGTTTTGGTAAATATGCTTTATCCATTAAAGAATGTCCTACTGTTCCTGGTTCTTATGATTTCTTCCCCCTGTATGTGTTGAATTTTGTTGGGGGCCTTTCCTGCATCTGTGGAAAGGACCTATCTTTGCAGACACGGCAAGCTGTGCCCCAGCCCCCGGTTCCCTTGTCCTCCTTGCTGCCGAGCCCTCCGTTTGAGTGACAGGGAACAGCATGGCCCTGCACCTGGCCATGGGTGAATCCTGCCTTCTCCAGGGCACTTCTAGGTTTGGGGCAGCCATATGCCTTCGTTCTGGCCCATGAGACCTACATTGTTTTTATATTCAGCTCTAGAAAATGCTCAGCTGTTAGTTCTTCAGGTTGTTTTTCTCATTCTCTTTATTTTCTTCTTTTGGAATTCTTATGAAATAGTGCTGA